AAACTTAGCACACATCATTCTAGGCTCAATTCAGTACGCTGTGCCAAATTTCGTGCAAATCGAAGAATATATAGGGTCTTTGGTGCACCATTTACATTAAATCGGGCGAAAATATATATGGGAGCTATATCGAAATCTGAATCGATTTTCACGAAACTTGGCACACTTTATTCTAGGATTACTTCAGTACGCTGTGCCAAATTTCGTGCAAATCGAAGCATATATAGGTTCCTTGGTGCACCATTTACCTTAAATCGGACGAAAATATATATGGGAGCTATATATAAATCAGAACTGATTTTCAGGAAACTTGGCACACATCATTCTAGACTCAATTCAGTACGCTGTGCCAAATTTCGTGCAAATCGAAGGATATATAGGGACTTTGGTGCACCATTTACCTTAAATCGGACGAAAATATATATATGGGAGCTATATCTAAATCTGAACGGATTTTTCCCAATTTCAGTAGGGTTCGTCCTTGGGCTGTAAATGAGCTGTGCCAAATTTCATCTGATTCGAATCATAAATGCGACCTGTACTTTGTTTACAATTTAATATGGACAGACGGAAGGACGAAGATGCATAAATCGACTTAGAAAGTCATTCTACGCATATTCTCAAAAGGAACCATGTGTCTATCTCGTTTCCTTTCGCCTGTTACAAACATATGCACAAAGACATAATACCCTGTGCCACCGTGTGGTGAAGGGTATAAAAAAACACCCCTTTAAAAAATTCACGCCTTGGCTAGGCCTTGAAAAAATATTCTTTAAAAATCCACATCTATAAAATTCCACTGTCTATAATTAGCTTGTGCTTCAAAAATTATTTTTATGTTTATCGAAAAAAATAGAGCTATAGTGTATTTTATCTGATCGGTTCGACTGTACAAATATAGTTGTTGTTGTTTTTTGTTTGATCTTGTTTGTTGTCATAAAACGAGTTAATTTGTTGAGCAAACAAATTAACACGTTTCGATTGAGTGTCTTTTTTTATTTTGTTTTGTATCACAACTCAGCGTCTTCTAATATTTCGTGGCACGTTTAAAATCGCACCCCTCTCTTCTCTGCTACCGGCAAATATTTTGAGTTTTTTTATGTTTATTTGTTTTCGAATGTTAAATACGGTTTTTTGCACATTTTTTTTAATTTAATCGAAAGTGATTTAAGTTTTGTTTGATATTGAAATTAGGGGTTAAAATATTTTTTTTGAATTATCGAAGTTATAAAGGCTAGTAAATAGTCTCGAACTTTTTTTGATGGAAAATTTCGGGTAGCTAGACAATTATTTTTTTTTGCGAATTTAAATATCTGTTTTTTTTTTTTTTTTTTGAAAAAATATGAAGGAAGTTTTGGGAATCTTTTAATAAAACTTAATTTTTTATTTTCGATTTTTTTTCATTATTTTCATTAGCTTATTTTTTCAAGCTTATTTTTTTAATTTTTCAAATCTCATGTTATTGCCTGTCACTCACGGCATGTCATGTCTCTCGAATGACAATCACTACTGCTAATCAAACGGCAATATCGGATATCATCTTGTCATTACCAAAAAAATAAACACAATCAGACTTACAATCATTCTAGCTGGCATCAAATGACAAATTGTTCGAAGTGGAACTACTATTTTTGTTTATTAACTGTCCTGGCCATATATTTTGGAACATGGAAACAAATGAAACAACATTTTAGTTGGCCAAATTTGAAAACCGCAAACAATACGTCCGCCGCCTTCCATCTGACAACAACAGCAAAAATTCATTTTAAAATGGAAGAAGCGAGTCGGGAGCAAAAAACACCGCTTTTAAGTCCAAATTAGTTTCTCAAATTGACAAGCAAAAATCAAATTGTATTTCTTTGATGAATATTGTCACGATTTGTTGTCGTTATAACGACAACTGTCGAATTGGCAAATATGGCGGTGTGGTGTGGCACACGTACATAGAAATGTGTTTTTATCTAGAGGAACAAAAAAACATCAACTATCAACGGTCGGTAACGACTACTATTACCCTTATGTCCACGCCTTAGATAGGCTTTGATAAAATATTCTTTAAAGAATCCACGCCTTAGATAGGCTTTGAAAAAATAGTCTTTAAAATATCCGCGCCCCTTTAAGGACCTTGAAAAATAGTCTTTAAAATATCCGCGCCCCTTGAAGGACCTTGAAAAATAGTCTTTAAAATATCCGCGCCCCTTGAAGGACCTTGTAAAAATATTCTTTGAAAATCCACGCCTTTTCTGGACCTTGAAAAAATATTCTTTAAAAAATCCACGCCTCTTGAAGGACATTAAAATCTATTCTTTAAAAAAACCGACGCCTTGTATGAGTCTTGAAAAAATATTATTTAAAAAAAGCCACGCCTTGTATGAGTCTTGAAAAAATATTCTTAAAAAACCCATGCCTTGTATGGGTCTTGAAAAAATATTTTTAAAAAAATCCACGCCTTAGTTAGGCCTTGAAGAACATATTTTTTTAAAATCCAGGCCATTGTTAGGCCTTGAAAAATATTTTTAACGTCTTGTTTAGATTTTGAAAATAATAAAAAACAGTGAGCGGAGCAGTATAGTCGGACGGGGCCGATCATACGACACCCTACACAACTACCACGGAACTCTAACTTTCTGCTGGTGTTTATTCCGAGCCTGGACAATATTTCGTGATATTTGAATCCTCTTGCGCCATTAGAGTTCAACATCACCTTTTCCTTCGGCTTTCAATTGTCGCGTATAGATCGAATCGAAAAAAAAACAAAAAAATAAGTTTTCGGTCCACTCCATCCCAATATTATTATCTGATCATCACAGAAAATTATAGGCGTTGTCCTTGACCATACTGGATCCTCATGGAAAATTTCAAAGCGATCAGAGCTATATTTCCGCATTCTAGTGTGGTAATGGGTTACTAAATAATATATGAGTGTGTAAGCATCTGTAAATATTTATGTGTAACTCCCACATCCGAGTACATACGATAATATAATTGTTATCAAGGTCAACCACTCCTCTTGGATATACTATCAACTTCTTGGGTCTATGTCCTTCAGGAGTAATTATATACGCCATAGAATACAAATTTTGTAATTTTTCACACAAAAAATCAGGTTCCATTTGACCCGCTAAATATTGACCGATCTTTATCACAAATGGTATGCTTATTCTTTGGCCCGATCCCCTTCTCCATGTAAAAATTCGCGATATTTGGACCATAATTGAGGCCTCTAGAGCGACAAGAAAAACCGACAAAAATCAAATATTTCATCCATAACATCCTCTAAATATTAACCGATCTTTACCAAAAACAATAGCGGTCTTCATTGGCCAAAACCCTTCCTACATGCAAAATTTCGTGAAGATTGGTCCATAACTGCGGCCTGTATCGTGTTTACAAATTATAATGGACAGACGGACGGATGGACTGACACACATGTCTAGATCGACTCAGCTAGTCGAGATATGACGATTGGTATACTTAAAGGTGGGTCTAGGACCAATATTTCTTAAAAAAAAATCCACGCCTCAGTTAGTCCTCTAAAAAATATTCTTAAAAAAATCCACGCCTCAGTTAGTCCTCTAAAAAATATTCTTTAAAAAATCCACGCCTCAGTTAGTCCTCTAAAAAATATTCTTAAAAAATCCACGCCTCAGTTACGCCTCATAAAAATATTCTTTAAAAAATCCACGCCTCAGTTAGTCCTCTAAAAAATATTCTTTAAAAAATCCACGCCTCAGTTAGTCCTCTAAAAAATATTCTTTAAAAAATCCACGCCTCAGTTAGTCCTCTAAAAAATATTCTTTAAAAAATCCACGCCTCAGTTAGTCCTCTAAAAAATATTCTTAAAAAATCCACGCCTCAGTTAGTCCTCAAAAAAAATATTCTTTAAAAAATCCACGCCTCAGTTAGTCCTCAAAAAAATATTCTTTAAAAAATCCACGCCTCAGTTAGTCCTCTAAAAAATATTCTTTAAAAAATCCACGCCTCAGTTACGCCTCATAAAAATATTCTTTAAAAAATCCACGCCTCAGTTAGTCCTCTAAAAAATATTCTTTAAAAAATCCACGCCTCAGTTAGTCCTCTAAAAAATATTCTTTAAAAAATCCACGCCTCAGTTAGTCCTCTAAAAAATATTCTTTAAAAAATCCACGCCTCAGTTAGTCCTCTAAAAAATATTCTTTAAAAAATCCACGCCTCAGTTAGTCCTCTAAAAAATATTCTTTAAAAAATCCACGCCTCAGTTAGTCCTCTAAAAAATATTCTTTAAAAAAATCCACGCCTTGTCTGAACATTGTAAAAAAATTTTCTTTAAAAAAATCCACGCCTTGTCTGAACATTGAAAAAATATTCTTTAAAAAAATCCACGCCTTGTCTGAACATTGAAAAAATATTCTTTAAAAAAATCCACGCCTTGGACCTTTTTAAAAAAAATATATATACATATGATATATGTATGTATGTTTTTCTGCAATCGGTTAATGTTTACTTTCTTTGAACATGTTTTCTTCTTGTTGTTGTTTCTGTTATTTTATATACCTTTAAACAAAACGCCGCATAGTCTGTCGCAACCTTGACCTTTGTAGATACCCTTTTGTTGTTCTAATTTTTGTTTACATATCTTTTTGTTTTTATGTTTTCTTTTTTCTCTCTCTACACTTGACCGCAAAATCGGCTGTGTTAAACGCAATTTGATCTTACAGTTTGTAATTTATGGCCGATGTGGCGCATCAGTGCGTTAATTTCATTTGTGACTACCGAAGGGTCGTGATGAGTAGTACTAAGTCAATCTATAGGTTGGCCATTCAGTCCGAATATCAACTTCCATATAGCCAATATATATTGTTATCTTGTGTAGACTTTAGTGATTGTCGTGAAGAACAATATTTTATTATTATTTAAAAAAAATTATTTTTTATTTTATATTTATTTATAAAAAAATAATAATAATAAATTCAATAATATTATTATTTTTTTTTTAATTTTTATTCTTCTAATTTTTTTAGTGCCCCGTTCGTGAATACAACATGGATGATCTGGAATTGGATCAAGTGACAAAGGTCATTAGCTATCATCCCCGATTTCTGGATCATTTTTTGAAAACTCAGAATTTCATAATGAACGGTGATGGACCCTTGCCATATGATTATCGTTATTATTTGGCCATTATTGTAAGTATATATATATATATTATTTTTTTTAAGAAAACTATACTGAAGAATACTAAGAAATTAGAAAACCAGTAAGGAAAGTAGTAAAGTCGGACGGGGCCGACTATATGATACCCTTCACCACTTTGGGTATATTCAACAGATGAATTCTAACAGACGTCCGTCAGTAAAAAAGGACCAGTAAAATGAAATTGGATCCATAAACATGTCCTTCTGCAACCCATACTAAATTCTTCATTTGGTCAGATATAGAGTTGCTATAGATATAGTATATATATATATATATAACACACATCATTATAGACCTAATTCATTAAGCTGTGCCAAATTTCGTGCAAATCGAAAGATATATAGGGTATTTGGTGGACCATTTACATTAAATCGGACGAAAATATATATGGGAGGTATATCTAAATCTGGACCGATTTTCAGGAAACTTATCACACATCATTCTCGACCTAATTCATTATGCTATGACAAATTTCGTGCAAATCGAAAGATATATGGGGACTTTGGTACACCATTTTCATTAAATCGGACGAAAATATATATGGGAGCTATATCTAAATCTGGACCGATTTTCAGGAAACTTAACACACATTTTTCTAGACCTAATTCAGTACGTTGTGCCAAATTTCGTGCAAATCGAAAGATATATAGGCACTTTGGTGCACCATTTACTTTAAATCGGACGAAACTATATATGGGAGATATATCTAAATCTGAACCGATTTTCTCGAAAATTGGCACACAATATTCTGGAACTAATTCAGTACGCTATGCCAAATTTTGTGCAAATCGAAACATATATAGGGACTTTGGTTACCCATTTACCTTAAATCGGACGAAAATATATATGGGAGCTATATCTAAATCTGAACCGATTTTTCCCAATTTCAATAGGGTTCGTCCCTGGGCCAAATAAGTGAGTTGTGCCAAATTTCATTTAAATCGGATAATAAATGCGACCTGTACTTTGTTTACAATTTAACATGGACAGACAGACGGACGGACGGACGGACATGCATAAATCGACTTAAAAAGTGATTCTATGCATATTCTCAAAAGGAACCATGTGTCTATCTCGTTTCCTTTTGCCTGTTACAAACATATGCACAATGACATAATACCCTGTACCACAGTGTGGTGAAGGGTATAAAACCCAAATTTACAGATAAAAGACTTGCAACAATTTTAAAAATATTTTTTTCTTCAGAAACCTAACCCTAAATCTAAAATAAATATTAAAATGTTGAATCTTGTAAATCGGTTCCAAATTGATTTATAATATCTCCTTCTTCTTTTTCTACTGCTGAGAGGTTACAATTGCCTCTCGAATTAATACCAATTACAACAATTTTAATTAGTGTGTGTGTGTGTGTTTGCTTCCACGAAATGATGATGTCGACCACGACAACAAAAGCTAATCGCGCCCACACACAACCTCTTAAATTGTTGTTATTGCCTTACTTTTCCTTATTCGGTGTGTACTTAAAAGCTACAAAGATTAATTGTTGATGTTATTGTTGGCGCTAATTGCTGTTGTTGTTGTTGTTCTTTATTGTCTTTTAATTATGACAATTAACCGAAATCGCCTTAACTGGTACACTTTCCCATCCTTCACTCCTTCAGCCACTGAATTGCAACCGCCAAAAAGTGTTAGCCCGCCTCCGCCTCCTCCTCCTTTCAATTAATTAATGATCGGATCACCTCGCCTCACCAAAAAGGCTATCTGGATTTTAGATTACACGATTAAACAATTAATTGGCATCAAAGTGAATCAAACAAATGGATGACAAGTAAGACAGCAAAAACAACAACAACAACAATGATATCACATGAAATGGATCAACAAATAAAGTGTTGTTGTTTTCTTTTTTGTTGTTTAATAATATAGGCACTCACCCACACTCATAGGTACCCCCTTGGCATAAGAATTAAATATTGTGTATCGATGTATATGTGCGATTTAAGCATTCATTGCCTAAATGGTTATCTGGTGGCGATGTGTGTGTGTGTGAGTGACTCTGCCTTATGAATTGCAATTAATTAAATGCATTGTTAAATTTATTTGTTGTTATTCTTTTCTGTTCAGTTCAGTTGTTGTTATTGTTTTGTTTAATGACCTCAAATAACAACGCCCTCAATCGTATCACAATAACAACAACGAACAACAATAGCAAAAGAATATTATCGATAAGAAACAGAAGCAAATCAATAACAAAACAAACAAAAAATATATATAGGGAAAGATGAGGGCATTTCTTAATTATCTAAAAAAAGGCTTATTTAAAAAGTCCACCCATGCGTTTTTTATAGTCTTTAAAAAATATTTTTAAATTAACTTACGTTGGGCGCCACTTTCAATTATAGAATACATGGAAAATCTAATTTATGATGGTTGATAAAGGTCCTAACATTTTAATTTGCCAGAAAAGCTACAACTAACCCTCACGTTGGGCGCCATTAATGCTTTTTTGTGTAGTTGATTTAAAAAATATACCCTTTGAATACTAATCGTCATTATTTTTGATATATTTTGCCTATGCATTATTTTTAGCATATTAAGGTATATTTGTAAAAATGAACTCACGTTGGGCGCCACTTTCAATTATAGAATATATGGAAAATCTAATTTGTAATAGTGGAAAGCGTCCCAATATTTTAATTTGTCAGAAGGCCAATGATTTATACTTCGCCTCACGTTGAGCGCCATTATTATTTTTTGTCTAGAATTAAAAAAAAACCAGTGAGCGGAGCAGTATAGTCGGACGGTGCCGACCATATGATAGCCTACACAACTATCACGAATATATAACTTTCTATGATCCAATATACTTAGCTTGGGTAATATTCCGCGATATTTGCACTCTCTTGACCGAATAGAGGTCAACAAATATTACTAATATTCAGTACGGCCCTTCAAATTACTTATCAATATTCCCCTCACCGTGGATTGTGTTGTGATGTTCGGCTTATAATTGTAGCCAATAGATCGATTACAAAAAAGAACACAAAAACCAGTAAGGAAAGTAGTAAAGTCGGAATGGGCCGACTATATGATACCCTTCACCACGTTGGGTATACTGTACATATGTAGCCTTTGGTGCACCATTTAGGTAAAATCGGACGAATATATATGTATATGTGGGAGCTATATCGAATAAATTTTCCAAAACTTATCTCACAACATTCTAGACTCAATTCATTACGCTATTCAAAATTTCATGTAAATCGAAGGATATATAGGGACTTTGGTGCACTATTTAACTTAAATCGGACAAAGATATTTATGGGAGCAATATCTAAATCTGAACCGATCTTCACGAAACTTAACACATACCACTCTAGACTTAATTTAGTAATCTGTTCCAAATTTCGTGCAAATCGAAGGATATATAGGGACTTTGGTGCACCACTTACATTGAATGGGACGAAAATATATATAGGAGCTATATCTAAATCTGAACCGATTTTGAGGAAAGTCAACACACAATAATTCAATGCGCTGTGCCAAATTTCGTGCAAATCGAAAGATATATAGGGACTTTGATGCACCATTTACATTAAATCGGACGAAAATATATAGGGGAGCTATATCTAAATCTGAACCGATTTTCAGGAAACTTAACACACATCATTCTAGACCTAATTCATTACTCTGTGCCAAACTTCGTGCAAATCGAAGGTTACATAGGCACTTTAGTGTACTATTTACCTTAAATCGGACGAAAATATATATGGGAGCTATATCTAAATCGGAACCGATCTTTACGAAACTTAACACACATCACTCTATACTTAATTTAGTAATCCGTTCCAAATTTCGTGCAAATCGAAGGATATATAGAGACTTTGGTGCACTATTTACCTAAAATCTGGCGAAAATATATATGGGAGCTATATCCAAATTTGAACCGATTTTCTCAATTTCAATAGGGTTCGCCCTTGGGCAAAATAAATGAGCTGTGCCAAAATGCAACCTGTACTTTGTTTACAATTTTATATGGACAGACGGACGGACATGCATAAATCGACTTAAAAAGTGATTCTATGCATATTTTCAGAAAGAACCATTTGTCTATCTCGTTTGCTTTTACAAAGACATAATACCCTTTACCACAGTGTGTTAAAGGGTATAAAAAATATGTTTTCGGTCCACTTCATCCCAAAATTATAATCTGATCATCACCGAAAACTACAGGCGTTGTCCTTGACCATAACCTGAACCTCATGGAACATTTTAAAGCGATCAGCGCTATATTTACGCCCTCTAGTGTGGTAATGGGTTACTGAATAATATATGAATGCATAAGCACCTGTAAATATTAGTAACTACCACATCCGAGTACGAGTACGACTATATAATTGGTATCAATTCAAATGTCACCCACACCTCTTGGATATACTCTAAACTTCTGGGGTCTATGTCCGTCAGGGGAAATGTATACGCTATAGAATACAAATTTTGTAATTTTTCACACAAAAGTCAGGTTCCATTTGACCCGCTAAATATTGACCGATCTTTATCAAAAAAGGCATAGTTATTCTTTGGTCCGATTCCCTTCTCTATGTACAAAATTCGCAATGTTTGGGCCAGAATAGCGGGCTCTAGAGCGACATCCCCTACATTTCATCCCCTAAATATTAACCGATCTTTACCAAAAACAATAGGGGTCTTCAATGACCAGAACCCATCCTACATGAAAAATTTCGTGAAGATTGGTCCATAACTGTGGCCTGTATCGTGTTTACAAATTATAATGGACAGACGGACACACATGTCTAGATCGACTCAGCTAGTCGAGATATGATGATCGGTATACTTAAAGGTAGGTCTAAGACCAATATTTCGCAGCGTTACAAACTCTTCAGGCTGCACAAAGCTATAACACCCTTACAACATAATTGTGTAGGGTATAAAAATCCACTCCTTATATACTTAATCACAAATATTTAAAACATGTTTAAAAAATATTTTTTGAAAATCCCCGTCTTAT